ACTGATATGGTCTTTGACTATCAGTGATTATCGATTCATCTGTCCGGTAAAATCCGATGAAGAAATTAAGAAAAAAAAGCTAAACCGTATTTACAAAATCTAGGTAGGGGCTAATAAAATGATAAATATGAAGTTTTTCCATCATAATTTGGTACTGTTCTTGGCTTTTTTTTTTTTGTAGTAGGACAGCAATCGCAGAATCAATGTTCGTTTCAGCATCTAATTCAACATCTAATAAAACAACATATAATAAATAAATCTATAATTTATACAAAAATGACGAATGAAAATTTCCTTTCCTTGAATTACGAGGAAATTTGGCTGTAAATCTTCTGTACGAAGATGTTACAAGCTACAAAAAAGTTTCATAACCTAAACCATTAAATAGCATAAAGTTGATACAATCTAGTTTACGCAATACACCGCATGTACATATATGGAAAAAATGATACGGTAAAATTGAAAATCTTTTTAATTAATAATAATAAATTTATTTTACGTACGTACGTACAGTACATACATAACAGGTATGATGCAGGAAATTTTTACTTTATACGTATCGATATGATGTAGAGAGATAAGTGGCCTATTTTTCAACATACATATGCATAAAAAAGTTGCTTCTATGCAAAAATTCGAAGATTCTACGTAAGATAATGAGATTGACAATTTAAGAATTTATTTTCGATGTGCAGTTAACGCATTATCATTATTAATATCAATAAAGTATATAAAGTCGATAATCTAAGAAATTTAACGTGTTACTTTGATTATCGTTATACTTTATATTACCCCTAAAGAAATTTTGGCTTTTAAATTTCCTGCTTGATATAACATGAATGTAACATATAATCTATTAATAACGATAAAATTAGGGAGCATTTAATTTCATTGTTTATATTTTGCCTCTATAAAGTGTAATGGTGGTCTTTAGATTTCTTGCACCGGTGTAAGAAATCTAAAAATCACAATTATACCTTAATACGTAAAAGTATACTTATTGAAGTCGATAATTTAAGAAACATTGGATTTAATGTGCTACTTATATACTTGCTTGGCGTTATCTTTAATGTAACCTATAATCAAGTTACACATTAATTTAAATTATCGAACTCAATAATGATAAAGTTAGGGATACATATTTAATTTTAATATGGTGTAATTGTGGTTTTAGATTTCTTGTGCCGTACGTGCGTACATACGTACATATGTACTGTATGTACGTATCAAGTGCAAATTGTCGATCGCCATTGTGATTGTATCTTCCAAATTTATCTTTAAAACCATGCGTTAGGGGGTCTTTTACTTAGTATGAATTTTGTACGTATTATAGAAAAGGTTAAAAAGCTATCAGCAAATTTAAAATTTACTGGATTGCAGATTAAAGGACAATTATTTCTTGTAATCGATGCAAAACAAATGAGTACTGTAGCATATATTGCTTAATAAAGTTATATTAAATGTTTAAAAAAATATTTTATATAAAACGATTGTTCGTAAAAAAAAGTTAGAATAATTTTTTAAATATTCAAAATAAGATAAAATGAATGTCGCGAAAGAAGAAAAAAAAGAGGAAAAAAACAATAAAAAAAAAGAAGTTGAAACAAAAGATCATATTCTTTGGAGAGAAAACGAATTTTTACGAACTAAAATATGTGAAGATTTTAAAAAATGGAAACAATTAAACTATACTTCTACAATACAATCAATTATTTCTATTGTTATTTGTATATTATTTTGCGCAGTTGGTGTTTTTTTTTATCTCTCTGGAAATAGTGATCTTGTAAAAAAATTTAAAAGTATTGTTTCTACTAGCGTTATTGGAACAGGGGGCACTCTTACTCTTTTTGGAAGTTTAGCAAGTCTTAAAACTCTTTTCAAGGAAATTAGTGATCATAAGAAAGATTATGATAACTTAGCGAATAATTTTCTTAGTTCTGATGATGATAAAATAGAAATTAGTTCTTTTGCTCAGGGTATTGATTTCAAAGAACATGCAAAACATCAAAGAATAGTATCACGCTTCTTAGTCAAAATTAACAAGCATATGCAATATATGCTACTTTGTCGTACTATATATGTTATTATTTCAGCAATAATTTTTATTATTTTAGCGTTAATATCAATTTTTTTATTATTTTTTATATACGATGAAAATATATTTAAAAGTATAAATATTACAATCATAACCCTTTCAACTTATTTATTGAGTATAGCTATTACAAATTTAATCTGTATTCAATTGATGATTCCTAGAATGTTAGAAATAGAGGAATCTATGATGTTAGAAGTGGAAGAATCTGTAATGTCAAAAATAAAACAATCTGTGCAAGATTCCGTAACAGGATTTTTTGAAAGGGAAAAATCTTGGATAAATTCTGTGCAAGATTCTGTAACAAGATCTTTTGCAAAACCGAACGAATCGGTTGATGAAATTTTAAAAAAGGTAGAAGAATTGACAAATTTTGTGACAGTGTCTGTGAATAAATCTTTGAATAATTTTGATAAGTCAAAGACGGAATCTAATAATTCTTTGGATATGTCAAAGACGGAATCTAATAATTCTTTGGATAAGTCAAAGACGGAATCTAATAATTCTTTGGATAAGTCAAAGACGGAATCTAATAAATCTGGAAAGCAAAAAATGGCAAAATTTGTGTTTAAAAGGATTAAAAAGATCGAGAAAAAGATTGAGAAAAAGATGAATGAGGAAAAGTTTAAGAAAAAGATTATTGAAGATTTAAAGAGAATGAACAAAAACGATATCGAAAAAGAGATGATTCATCTTTTTTACGATTTTTATTATGATTATTATAATGTAGATCTTTTTTATAATGATAAAGTTAATATATCTGTTATTTTGTCATTCTTATTTCGTGAAATGGGTAAAAGATGGAAAAAATATAAAGAAATTAAAGACAGAAAAAATGAAAGAATTAAAGACGGAGAAAATGAAGGAACTAAAGGCGGCAGAAAAAGTTTAAAAAAAGTATTAATTTTCGTTGAATGTTTGATTTCTCAAATATCAACGATTATTAAATTTTTAGAAATATTCTTTTTTATTATATTCCACCTTAATTTTTATTTTTTGGGAATAATGTCATTTCAATTTAATTTTAAAAAAATTAGTATGACAGCCAAACAAATGGAAGGAATCAATCGCATACTTTTTGGCTTACCATTGTATGAAAGAAATATGAAGAACAAGGATCATGCACATGTAGATATTAAGAACATGGGTCGTACATATATAGATATTGAACCCCAACCAAATGTTGGAACAGGGACAGCGCGCAGTACAAATTTTCCTCTCACATGATGTAGATCACTGCATATCACGTTTTTGTCACCTGTAGATCACGATTATATCACATGTACAGATAATTATTCTCGCGACACTGCAATTATTATATCTAGAGATGTGATTCTGGTTTAACTTTAACAATAGTATGAATCCAAATATCTACAATATGATAACTTTTTCTTTGATAAGAAAAAATTTATATCATAAAATTCAAGAGTGTTATAATATGTTTATTCGTTTAATAAATACAAGTATTCAATTTTAAATAATTCTTTAAACTAAAAAATTGAACCCTAATACGGTAAAAACCTATTATAAGGCCATACAAACTTAATTAATTGGTTCTCATAACATAAAATTTTCAGAAGTAACCCGGCCCCGGCTTTTAATTTTATTTTCAAAAAATTTATATATAAAAAACATAAAATTTTTTTAAAGATTTTTAAAAAAAAGCTTACCCGGATAGTAAAAATACTTAAAATTTTTTTTAAGTTTTGTAAAATTTGACCCGGCTGGTTATGAGAACAATTTATTAAGTTTGTATTATCTAAATACTAAAGTATATAACAAATTATTAAATAGCAAATAATATCCAGAGCTACGATTTTCTTACGGCTCCATTGATAATTCAAGCTTCAGTTTGATATAATAAAGCGCATATATTTACAGTATTATAACAATATAAGCACGAATTATGTAAATTTAAATACTTAACTTCTATTCGAATATTATTATATTACCTAGTTATCTGGGTAATTTATCCTTACCATGTAATAAAAGTGTACAATCTCTATACTTAACAGATTAAGTAGCATGATTCGAATGCTATCTTTTTTTTTTTAATTTTGATTAATGAATGAATGTTTTCTAGTTAAATAACTTCACATAATAAGAACAAGGCGGCCCTCCAAAGTGCAGATCATGGCACAGCCGCAGCATAGAAATAACCAATTGTAATTAATCTTGAAAACATGTGTTGGGTGTTAAATTGATCTCAAGATTAGTTAATGCTTGTATTTATTGGTTATTTTAATGCTGCGCTGCGCCATCAATTCACACTTTGGGGGCCGTTCTGGTCAACTCAAAAAGGGCTGCTTGTAAAATTGGATGAATTTCAATGGTGTTTAGACTTAATTTCATAGCATAAAAATAAATAATTTGTTTAGTTGAAGCACGAAAAATATGAGCCATGAAATAACAAAATTAGCAAATTTAATGATGATCTGTAATTTGATTGAATATACAAAGGCGTAGTGACCCTGTGATAAAATATAATAAATAATGAAATATCACATACATAAGTGACCATATCGAAAAGCATTGCACGCATGCGATATAAGTTGGGATGAGCCCGGCGTGATGTACCGGAAATTAATTTTATTTAAAGAATGCATACATCAGTTGCGATTGATGTACAAATAAATTGAAACGGAATATGCACCGGGAAAAAGGCCATAAAGATTGCGCCGGGCATTCCCGCCTGCGTAACGCAGCCCGGCCGACAAATGAAATAAGTAGTTGTCACGAAAATGGCAGGATTCGAGCCATTCCAAAGATGTACGTATGAATTTTGTCATTTCCATGAATAATATAGCATGATCACAATCGAATAGTAATTTTCATAAGTGGAGCATTTATTATATTTGCATTTGGGTAGATATGCTATATACATTTTATTTATTGCCGATCTGTCTCAATAGTATTCTGATGACCGATCTATTTCAAAGATGTCAGTGATTGGTCAGTCAGAATACGCCTCTGATAAAACTGCCGCTATTGTTGCTGGGTGGGCCCTGATATATCTGTGGAATGCATCGGATGACCATCTGCCGATTTTTTGGATAAGTGATAACTGCACTCCACGCAGAACTAGTTCTGTTGTCCCTCCTGCCCTAAAGCTGTGCCCTGCTATATCCGTTCCAGGTGCAAGGAGTTTGAGTGTGCTTATGAACCAATGCTTTGTGGCTGGTTCGCCATTAGCTTTAATGAATAATGCACTGCTGCCTCTGGCATATGTTGGTTCTGTTCTGCGAATTATGTAAGCCTTTAATGCTTGAATTGGACATAAGTTGTCGTTTGTTGAATTTATGATTAAAATTGGGCGCTTAGTTGTTTGTGGGTCTTTGTTCTTGGTAGTTGTATTGTTGCAAAGGAATTAGTACCGGCTCTGTCAAATCTTAAGCTTTGTATTTTTGGTATTTTGGCTACATCTTGCTGAGATAGTGGTAACAATTCTCCTAACCAGGCCAGGCCATAGAAGGCCACTGTTGCTATTGACCAAAAAAGTAAACACTCTGCATTGCTGAGATTTAAGTTTTCACGTATCGTGCGCAGGTGTGTTCTTGTAATGTGTTCTTTTTGGCGTGTTGGAGTGAATGTGTGGTTTCCTTCTATGGTTTTTAAGAGCTGCTTTATTAGTGGATCGTAATGAATGGTATTCCACTCCATATGGTTCATGGTATTATAATGTTTAAAAGCCGATAAATAAGTTTGTGGAGTAACTTTTATGTGAAAGTAAGCGATAAACTTTACTAAGTTGTCCCTTGATATGGGCCATACTGTCCCATTACTGTTTAACCATCCATGCACTATCGCTAATTTTTTGTAATCATATTATATGTTCTATACATTGGAGGGCTTATTCCTAATATTATTTCAGCCTGTTTATTTAGTGTAATAATAGCTTTAGGATATTTATTTATTTGTCTTTCAGTAGTCTGCTGCAATTCTCTAGTTTCTTGTCGCATTGCATTAATCTTAGGTCCTATTGTAGCAGTGTTACAGGGTGAATTGTAACGATTTAATAGTTTATACACGAAAAGATCTGAACTTATACGATATGGCAACTCGCCAGAGGCATGATGTTGGTGATTTGACAATAATTTATTTTTATTTAAAATAAATTTATCAGGGTGATTTATTAAAGCTATTATAAAGTAATTATTGGAATCCCGTAGGATGTCCTTTTACACGAGTGAAATTGCAGTGCTTTTATAGCTTCAGCTAACTTAATGAATTCTAGAGGGGCTTAGGGAAAACTTAATACATCTTGAATGATTTATAGGAAACTTATACTATGCGGGGGCTTGCAATAATAATTACAATATAATTCAAGGAATTATAATAGCTGTGTCATTATAGTTTCAATATTTCTTATTGAAACTTCTTAATTAAATTGTTAGTTTCTTGCTCTTTGCTCTTCTCTTTTGTCGCGTTCAGGTTCTTCAGATTTCGCATAAGTTATGAGGCTGTTTCGGCCGATAATTTCTTATTTATCTAAGCTGTACATTAAATTTAAACCTGTTTACTTGTTTTATTCAGCTAATAAGCCTCAACTGATAAACCAGTATTTCATTGTTAATATTTTCTTCATCACAGGTTTTGCTGTACCAATTTCAAAGATCCTTCTTTGCCCGTGACAGCAGTGATGGAATAGCAGATATTAGGTTAATATAGCTGTTTGGAACTACTGAGTACAAGAAGTGGGTACAAGGACTTTGAGCTACATATTCTCTGTAGCCATTGCATGATAACAAGTCAGCTTTGTATTGTCTTTGCCACTTATATGCTTTAGTTTAATTAAAAAATTGCACTGAATTTCTGCTATATATATTTCTGTGATTATATCATTTATTGTAGAATTTTTGCAGTATCCTGTATAGTATGTCTCTGCATTTGACTGGTTGTCTGTCCATAATATTAGGTGCTTTTGTGTTCATAAAGATGCAAAGGTAAGTATTGTAATAAGATTTGTTAGCAGCTCATATACTTGAATAGTATATTTTGTTATATCTATTGTTCTGGACTAGTTGAAAGTTGTGAAGTAAGTATTATAAGTTGCACTGCTACTCAAATTTGATGTATCTGTGAATAATTTTGAACTTCGGGTCACAACCATGCTCTATCTTCAATTAAGTATATGCTAGGCTACTTTGAAAGAATCTTTAACTACCATGCAATTTTTGTTTTCATTTGGTTTGTTATTTTGATATGAAATTTTTTATGTTTTGCTCCTTCTAGAGCTTTGATAAAGTATTAGACAAAAGATCTGCATTGTGAAGTAATTTGACATAACCATATAAGTGATCTGACTAATAACTATAATTCTTTTTTGTAGCACCACTTTTTCTTGTTCCATTCTGATAGCATCTCCAATATTTTGATCCTTTTTGATTCTGGTATTGATGCTGACAAGACTGTAGTTTGATTTAAATTTCTAAAAATGTGATTGCTGTACCTGGGCCTTCAAGCTTTAATTGCTTATAAGGAATATTTATTATTTTTAAGATTCAAAGAAATTGGCTTAATTCTTGCTCTGCATGATTTTGTAATATAATTAAGAAATCACAATATAGTGGATAATTGACTTGATTTCTTGCTGCACAGCAATTTATGTAATCATGTTAGCAAAATGACAGAATATACTACCTGATACTCTATTTCTAAATAATAGTGCTTTTTCAAAAAATATTTTCTTATTATATTGTAAGCCTTGAAAAACCTGGTCTGCTAGGTGTACTAGAAATATATGATAAGCATCCTGTATATCAATTTTAAACAGCATATAGCCTTTTCTATATTGCATTATCTACTCGATTGTATAGTTTAAATTCTTATATTTTGTTGCAAACTCAATTTTATCTATTTCATCATTAATACTGGCCCCAAATAGGGCTAACAAATATGAAATAACCTGGTATACTTTAGGCTTTGAATCTTTCTTCTCAGCTAATTCACATAGATTTATTTAAAACTTTTGGTATGGTAGATTTTCTAGAGAAAATAGACCATACATGTGGCCTGCTGCTAGTTCTTTATTTATGTAGTTTTTAAAAGCTATTAGTTTAATATTAATTAATCTTAAATTCAGTTGAATCAATATTATATATTTGCCAGAGAAGTTAAATTGAAAACCTTTTATTGGATACTTTTGTATAAGATATTCAAATGCTACTTTGTTGACTAGTGTTGTTACATTAAATAAAATTAGATTTAGCTGTGTTATCTTTTCTTGTATAAGTTGGTTGAGTCTCAGTAGATAAGCTTTGATAGTTAAGTTTACTGATTGTAGTAATGGCTTTATCTTAAATAAGGCTGTAAATATTCTCAAAGCCTTAAATTGTACTGGATATTTTATACTTGGTTTTTGTTTTCTTTTTATTTTAACTATTAAATAGATCTTGTTAGTATAAAATTCTCTTTTTTATATATATATATATATAATGTTTGCTTATTGTATTTATATCTCTGATAAATATATATTCTATTATTATATATTATTATTGTTATTAATTCTAACATTATTTTGAATTACTTTTTGTCAAACCAGTTTGTTTAAACCTTTTCTTTTAAAAGCAATTCTTCTCACTATAGCCTGCTTTTTTGCATATAATATATGTATATACATGCTATATTTCTTTTTTTCTATATATGTCTTTCTATTTCAATTAAGGCAAATCTCTCTTCTATCATACCATGATATGTCTAACTAGCTAGGACAATGCCCTTCACTCTTGACTCTCTTTGTTGTAGTGATATCAAAATTTTTCTCTTCTGCTTCTATATCTTTGTCTAATAAGGTGCTATTATAATTTATAGACAGTATAATATGCTGATCTTCATCATATTTTATTATAGCTGCAAACTCATATTATATATATAATTCATTTATATAGTCTTTGTAAATATTTAGCTCTTGTTCTCAATTGTTATAAAGTATTAGTACTGTATTGTATCTATATATGCCTTGAAGATCATAAGCTATTTAGATATATCTCTAAATACTGTATTGCATATATATTTCTTTATTGATATTGTTCCACTATCAGATATATGTAATATTACATTCTTACTTTTATATTTTGTATTTTCTTCTATATTTTTATATATAAATTCTTAGAGATTTATAAATAAACCAAATGCTAAAGCTTTTTAGGTTTTGGTTGTTAAACTTGGTTTGTATTACAAAAGCTTGATCACTTTCTGGCTCTTGGCCCAGTTTAAAATATACTACCTGCAAATTTTCTCAGTTATTATTGCATCCTTGTTGGTTATCCCTTGTATGTCTAGTGTTTAATTTACTATTATATAGCTTAGAGTCAGAAATTTTTTATTTGTCAACTTGTATTTCACTAATTTAATATTGTTTAAGCCTACATCTTTTGTTTGTATATCTTTTGAATTTATCTTAGCAATCAGATTATTAATAATTAGAGTTAGAAGTTAATTACCTTCTTGTAATTTCATGGTCTTCTCTATATTTGTTACTTGTGCTATTTGTAGTTGGTTTGCCTCTTGTTGTTGTCTTGTTGATAGCTCATTACTGTTGACTTAGCCACTGTTGCTACTGCTGCCTGATATATTTGTCTGCTCCAATTGTATAAAATATTAGTTGATTGTTTCTATGCATCCCAGATTCCATTCTTTCTGTATTTTTAATTGTTAATCCATATACTGTTGCTTGTTTTGTATTATAGCTGATATTGTTGATCTAATTATCATATTAATGTAAGTTCTTATCTGTGCATCAATCTGTATACCTGTTTTATTTCTCTTGCTTTTGGCTATTATGTAATACATCTGCTTCTACTGTGTCTTTGAAAGTTGCACTTTTATCCTGATTAATGTTCTCTTTTTTTCATATTTTGTTTACTCATTTTACAAATAGAATGTTTGGTAATTTAGTTAGATGTTAAACACATATATAGATATATTGCTATATATATATATGCTATTCTACTTATCTAGCTAGTTTAGAAGCTGGCTATTTTATCACAATTTCTCATAATTGCCAAATATGAAAGCTAATAGAAATTCATATATAAATGTTTGTGTTTTCCTATAACAACCTTTGTATTTTATAGCTACTAGATCCAGAAGTTGATAATTATATCTGGTCTTGATCTATTTAATCACTTTTTCATAATGCTGCTATCTTGCTGCATTGTATTATTATTATATAATATATATCATCAAATAAAATTAAAATAAATATGCATATATAGTGGTTAAGCCGTAGGGCTCTGCAGAGCCATGCATTTGAGACTACTTCTATCTATCCTCTATCCATTCCAATTTTTTCACTTAGAAGAGTTAGATTTGAACAACTTTCTAATACATAACCTGATTGTTGCTAGCTTTTGCAAAACCGTACGAGCTGAGCATAAATTAAATGCTATAGAAGATAACCTTTCTGTAGTATCATTTCCAACACCATTAGCCTCCTATGATCCACACACTACATTATCCTTTCAACAACCTACTTCTTCTACTTACTCTTTATCTAATCATAAATTCTTATCTAATACAAACTATGATCTTGTTAACTTTTAACTTGAAACAATAACACAAGTAACTGAGCAACTTGTCCTATCAATCTACTAACATGCTACAACAAATTCTTATTTTATTACAAACTACCTCCACTTGAACAATACAATCATTTTTTAACTACATCCAATACAACATTCCCTCATACAACTCACCTCTGTATATTAGAATTTCCATACTTAACATTAAAGACAAAAAAGATAATTATACAGAGGCATATATTTATCTTTTTCATGAATATTAAATACTTACAAACCACTTTATGCCTCCTTTTTAGAATCTTTTACAGTAGTTTAGATATATCTCACTCAAATCACATACTTATAACTTCCAATATGAACATTCTAACTTGCATGATCTTCACCTCACTATTGCTACTCACAATATTAGAGCCTTTAATGTTGCTTCCAAAAGACAGATCTAGCAAGACTACTGTATTAATCATAATATTTCTATAGCTTGTATTACTAAGACTAAAAACTTTAACAAAACCAAACTATCCTTCTGCAATAACAACCTCTATACTTACTACTAAGCTAACTTTTAAAGTTCTATAGAAGGAATAACTATTATAGTTTATAACCATCTTAAGCCTCATGTCTATAGCTGCCTTACACACCCTGGCAGAGCAATTGCACTAGACTTCTTTTTCAAAAGCAATATAAACTCCACATTATTTCTGTCTATATTTCCTCAACTGATTCTACTTACTGCATTTTTGCACATAATACTGTGATCAACTAGATACTTCAAACCTAGCAACTCAATCTTCAGCCTATTATCCTTGATAATTTTAATATACAAGATACTACCTTTAGCTTATTATCTAGATTTAAATTTATTAATTTTCTATACCACTCAAATATGTGTAATATTGGTACCCATTTTAATAACACCCAAAATACCTGGTCATATAATATAAACTCTAGCAAAATTAACTATATCTAGACCAACTCTTTTAATATACAATTTCTTCTCTTCTATAGTCTTGACAATAGCAAAACAAGCACTCTTAGTAACTACTTTATATTTTCTACTTCTTGAATATTTCCTAATATATTCAGTAAATCTCTATATCTTTATACCAATATTAGTTGCTAAATCTTTAATTATAAAGCCACCACTAGCTAGCAATAGCAAGAATTTTCCAAGCTTACCTTACAACTAATTACACAAAGCCATATTTCACTTATACCAAATGCCTTGAAGAATATTGATACCACTTGGCACAAGCTTTAATATTTATAACACAAGCTGCAATCAGAACTATTCCTAACAAAATTATACAAAAGCATAACTACAACTATAAATATACTTCTTTATACACTGCACTCTACCTTGGGCTTAAAAAACTTGGTCACATTATTAAGACTCTTACTAACAACAACAATAATCACCCCAATTTATACCTTTTGCACATTAATTTACAAATCCTTATCATCAATACCTAGTCCAAATATAATCTTCAGACACTCCAATTACTTGATATTCATGATATTCAATTATAGTTATTGTATGCATATACTATTTGAAAACAGATTAACTATGCCTATTATTCTTTTCATCTTCATCAACAAATCAATCAGGCTTCTAAAAGAAAGTGTGAAACACTTATCTCAAAACCTACCCAAATTATTAACAGTATACTTGATTGATACCAACCTCTTGTATACTTTACCAATATCAAACTTACCAACTAGCTTATTACCAACACTGCTGAAATCAAACAACATATCTAATTACACTTTTCAAACTAAATTATATACAAATCTGTTGATCAAACCATCTTTAATTGCTCTTGGCACAACAATACCAACCACTTCCCCATATCAACTCTAAATGATATGCACTATTTATTAGCTTTATAACTGAAGATGAAGTTCTTCAAACTATTTCCAAGCTTCCTAATGGCAAAGCCTGTAGCTATACTAGTATTAGCTATAAAATAATTAAACACTTGAACCAACACTGCATCACTGCTTTTACCAAACTTTTTAACTGTTGCTTATCCAAAACACAATACCCAAGTAATAGAAACATGGCAGAATATATCCTATCTCCAAAAACAATGCTTTTAATAGAAACCTCAACCTTATTTGACCAATTAGCCTTACTAAACATATTAGAAAAATATACACTAAAATTCTAACAAACAGACTTAACCAAGTCTTCTCCCAAATTCTATCCTTTCACTTTTTAATTATATTGCTCTACCAGACAATAGTACTTCTATCTCTATCCATATTCTTAACAATCTTATCGAAGATGCTAACTGTAATCATAAAGAGCTTTGCTACTATCGTAAGATATGAGCAAGGCATATGATTCAGTTAACTTCAACCTTTTTAGATAATCTTTCTGCCATCTTTTCTTACTCCAAAGTATCATCAACATTCTTACTAATTTACTTATTAACTACCATAATAAGTTATAACCAACTTTGGACTAACTTCTTTATATCAAATTCAAAATAGTATTGACCAAGAGAAGACTATTACCCACTTGCTCTGGCATATATATTATGACCCACTTATTACGCATATACATTCTACCTTTATTGGCTACACAACCTCAATGTCATGGCCAACAAATTTCAAAAACTACTTATTTAACAAACTCAAAACTAACTGTTCTGTCTAGGCCTATATAGATAACACTTTGTGGATTGTATCAAGTCAAACAGAGCTAACAAACATTCTCACTATTGCTGAATCTTTCTACAACATGGTAAATATTCAAATTAACCTATCCAAATTTATTCTATCCTCTAACACCAAACCTAACTTATACAATTCTATTATATTCAACAATGTGATACTTTCTTTCTAGCCTATACACCAGCTCTTTAAATTCCTAGGCTGCTGATTTACACTCAATAACAACATATTAAACAATTCCAACTTATCTTGGCCAAATTATCTTAACTTACCAAAATTGCTAACACCAAACAAATAACTGATACTCGAGCTTATTATATTATAAACATTGTTATTATTTTTACTTTAGAGTACAGAATACATAATATTGTTCTTAATTAATCTTTATGCAACAAAATCTTCTAACAACATATTAATCTTATTAAACACAAAGCTAAGCTTTGCTGTACTATACCTATGAGCATCTTATTATATTCTAACATATACAATATTAAAAATATCTAGAATATCCAACTTCAACACCATATTTCAAACTTTATTAAATAGCTTAATAAAAAATCTCTTCTATATATCTCTACCCAAATCAGAATTCAACAACTTCAAAATAATCTCTGGTCAGCAACTAGTATTTTCTTTTATCCAAATCCTATTATTGATGGCCCCAACCATCTTACTACTAATTTTAAAATAGTATAACTTCTTCAATATCTAAACTGGACTATTAGTTTAAGTTATGACACAAACATTCCTTTCACAATTAATAAAGATTCTATTACATTAGAATCTATACTATTAGCAAACCCCAAATATCCTTCATTTAAAAAAAAACTTCAGCATCATTATATTCTCTTCTTAGATCAACTTAATTCTACTAATAACTCTACCTTCTAGACTAGAAACATATATCTCCAAGACTTAACAAAATTCCTAAAAGAAAAATTCTTTATTAGTTTACATTTCTTAAAAATTCTATCCTTAATTTCTCACACAACTAGCTTATTTTCAGGCAACTTAACCTTTTATCTACTAACTACTATAGCTACTGTACAGGTCATTTTTACAAATACTTCAAGCTCTGGCTTTTAACTTTTTATCATAACCAAGCTATTATTAGCAAAGCTTATTACCAATCTACAAACTCTGGCTTTACACTAATTACATATTGGCAATACAATCTTCCAACTACCTCTTCTTCAATATACCCTATTTCTGATATCATCTCAAGTCCATGTTCTAATTATCCTCTCAATTCTCACATTATCAGTAGCAAATATACTCTTTTTATCCCAACTAGTTATGCTTCCAAGTTTTTAGCCAAACTAAATTCAAACAAATCTGTTAATTTTAATACAAACTCTCTTGATCTCTTAGACTTAATCAAACTTAAAGATACTACCCAAACTGTAGTTCTCTTAAACCTCTCAATACTTGCTTCTCAAATTCCTCCATTCTTCACAAATAACATTGCTTTTAACACTCTTTAATATATTGCAAACTTCAATCTTTACTTTATACTTCTTACATTCTACACAAATAGATCAGTGATTAACTTAGACAATTCTCAATACTCTATGGGCATTGGCCAGATACAAGTCAAGAACAATAAAATTCTCAATATATTTTAGTACAAATCTTACTCTGTCCCTGTTCTTTTAAGGCTGAACTACTTGCAATCTTATCAACCATTTGCACTGCTCCCAGAAACTGCAATATTCAAATTTTTACAGACTCTTAATTTGTAATTACTAAATATAATAGCCTAACCCAGCAAACAACCAACACTAAGCTTCTAAATACTTCTTACTAGTCTATTTGAAATACACTTCTCAATTTTATTAAATTTTATAATTTAAAAATCACTTTTTATAAAGTCAAAGTATATCATAATGACGAATTTAACAACAAAGCTGATAAACTTGCTCACAACTACCTCAATTCACCTTATCTCAAATTTAACT